CACTGCTGGGCTAAGCAGAGGTGAGTTCATTCTTAAACCTGTGAGTTCCCATTCAACTCAGCGCTTAGTGAAATCTGAATAATTAAATTACCTCCTGGCTTTACATAGAGATGAAAGGGAGGGCTCTCACTTTCTAGAAGAAACACTCGTGTTCTTCAGTCACCACACAACTGTTCTTAGTACACAAAGTTTAGTATCCCCCCCAAAAAAATAATTATGTAACATATGAAGAAGCAAAAATAAAAGGGGAGCTCACGATTATATTTTGGAAATCAGCAGAAAACAATCCACAGATAATCCAGATATTGGAACTGTCTTGTAAAGACTTTAAAATAACTATCGTCCTCAAAGATTTACAGGAAAATTAATGGTTGAATATGAATGGTTGAATAAGGAATCTCAGCAGAGAAATGGTAATTACAAAAGCAACAGAAAGTGTTGATCTGTATCTAAAATAAAAATCTAGTATCTGAAATAAACTAGACATTTCACAGCAGAGCGAATACTGCAGAACAGTGAACTTGAAGACATGTCAACAGACATCTAAAATGAAGCTCAGAGAGACTGAAAAGAAAAAAGTATTAATGATCTGTGCGACAATATCAGTCCGTCCAATGTATTTGTGATCAGAGTCCCCGAGAAGAGGAGACAGAATGGGATAGGAAAAAAATATTCGAAGAAACAATGGCCAGTCTTTTCCAAATTCATTGAAAAACAGGAATCCACAAATTCAAGAAACTCTGAGAATCTCAAACAACAAATAAGAGAAAGCCACACCTAGACCTGTCATACTTAAGCTTCTGAAAACCAAATGTTAAAAATTTTTAAGCAACTGAAGAAAAAGACGACATACAAGGAAACAATGTATTGTGTGTTTCTAACAAGATAGCAAATATATGACAGCCATAGCAAAAATATCTTTGCTACCTAGGAGTAGACCAGTGGTTCTCAAGTTATCGATTTTGTCCCCAGAGGAATTTCACGGTCACAATATTTGGAGACATGTTTGGTCCTCATGAGTGAGGGACGCTACCAGCATCTACTTGGTAGAGGCCAGTGATGCAGCTAAACATTCTGTAGCCCTGCAAAACAAAGAATCATCCAGCCCAAAATGTCAGTAGAAACCATTAGATAGTCAGAGATTTCTTAGAACATAAAAAGCACTAACCATAAAAGAAGAAAATTGGAAAACCGGACTTTATGAAAGTTACAAACGAATGCTCATCGAAACACTCGTTATAAAAGTGACAGGGAGAAAATATTTGTAACATATACATTAAGCCAAAGGGCTTCTGTCCAGAAATATAAAAAGAACTCTGAATCAAAAGCAAAAAGACAACTCTTTAATAAACAAAATACTTGGACAGATACTTTACAAAAGGGGATATACGAATGGCCAATAGGCACATGAAAATTAAAGACACAGTGACACTACTTCATACCCACTAGAGTCCTTAAAAGTTAAGTAACAAAACCAAACGTGAAAATTAGAGCAACGAGGTGTCGGTGCGTTGCCGGTGGGCGTGTAAAATGGTTCGGTCACTTTGGAAACCCACTGGCAATTTCTTAATAAGTTAAATATACAGCGACTTTATGGTTTAGCAGTTTCAGTCCTAGGTATTTACCCCAAAGAAATGAAGAAACATGTCCACAGAAAGACTTCTATAAGAACATTCGTGGCAGCTTTTTGACAGACCAGACCTGGAAATGACCCAAACGTCCAGCCTTCAGATCGTAGTCGATGGTGGCATGCTCACACAGTGGACTTCAGCACAGCAACAAGAAGGGAGGAATGACTAATGCATGCGACAACGTGGATGAATCTCAGAGCATATGTCGGTTCTAGCCAGGTCTGTTAGGCAAGAAAGTGAAATAAAAGGCATTCGCATCGGAAAGGAAGGAGTAAAACTGTATCCCTGCAGGTAACGCAATCGTGGAAATCCTGAGGAATTCACTGAAAAAACTATTAGAACTAATAAATGGGGTCAGCAAGTTTGCAGGATGCAAGAGCAATATATCAAAATTAATTCTATTTCCATTCATTTGCACCAAACCACCTAAAAAGGAAATTAAGGGACCAATTCCATTTGCAATAGCATCAAAAAGAATAAAATACTTGGAAATAAATTTAACAAGTGTAACACATTCTGAATACTATAAAACATCGTTTAAAGATATTCGGGATGACCTGAATAAATGGAAGCACATCCACATGTTCATGGATCAGAAGATTTAACATTGTTACAATGGCAATTCGTAGCTAGAAAATCTTAGAGCCAGGACTGTCCAGATTAATTATTCTTACAGGAATTCAGTGATGAGTGAGACAGACAGAAGTGTCTGTGTTCATAGAGCTTCTGTTTGATGGAGTCATTCCTTATTAAAACAGTTTAATTTCAGATCGTTTTAAATACTAAGAAGAGAGTAAAACAGGATGATCAACCAGGGAGGAGGATTTGGGTTAGATAATCAGGTGGTAGGTACCCATCTGACAAAGTCTCTTTTTGTAATTGTTTCTTTGAATTAGGATCAAGTCAGGTTCACACGTTGAGACTGGTTGGTAGGTCTCTCAAGTCTCTTTGTAAAGATGACCCTTCCATGGAGCTTTCTCTTTTTCTCATAATTCACCTGTTGAACAGAGCGGATCATTTGTCCGATAGAGTCCCCCATGGTCTGGTTGCCAACTGCATCTCTGTGGCGTAGCTTCTAAGATAACTTGCCCTTCTGCCCTCTCTTGCTTCCTGTGAAGCGGTGCTGGGGTCTGGAGGCTCAATATGAGATTCAGGTCTGAGGGGTTTTGTTTTTTTTTTGGCGGTACGGGGAATATTATAAGTCTGGATCTTGAACACCAACTCCCTATTTAATGATATTAAGGAATTGTTAATTTTTAGACATGATAATAGTATTATGGTTACAGTTTCTGTTTCAGAGATTTATGTTGGAAAATCAGTGGAAGAAATAAGAAGCCCGGGATTTGCTTCGTACTAGTAAGGGAAGAGGGGCGGTAAATGGAGGCGTAGGGAAAACTCAACTGGTTGTGAGTTAATTGTTGAGTTGAGAGATGGGTCTACAGAGGGTTCATTATACTCTTCCGTCTACTTAATGTACACATTTGAGAGGTACTAATTTAAAGTTTTAAAAACAGTTGTTATTTGTAGCGATTAAGATGAGTGGGACTCTCTCTAATCCAGTTATGAGGATCTGGTAACTGTCCATTCACATCCACGTCAGCGAAATGCTGTCCACTTCTGTTCATCTCTACAGATACCCATCATTTTTAAGTTACATTTTATATTTAAGTTACATTTAAAAATTACATTTTAAAAATTTGGTTGAACCATCTGAAATGACTGCTTTTTTCGTAGGGCAGAAATGTTGGCAGTTTCCCGTGTTTCAGTGTATTGCGTGGAAGTCAGCTAAAAAATCAGATGTTTCTGCATCCATGCACTAGTTGTCATGGTTTCCTTCCTTTCAAAGCCAGTTTACTAGTTATCAAAGCCTATGTTTTTAAGATTGGATCGGATTCTAAGTTTTAAAAAGCTGTTACTCATCATTAAATGGTTATAGTAAACTGTTACCGTTTTAAGAAAAAAAAAGAAAACGTGAGAGAAGCAAGCAAGTACATTAAGTTCATCGCCGTCAGGTAAAAATTAGCCTGTCATGTTCAAGGTACAAAGACCAGCGTGGCTGTACCAAATGGGGGGAAGATAAAAGATAAAGACGAGAGATGGACAGGGGCCAAATCACGCAGGGACTTGTAGAGAGTTTTTAAGCCGAAGTGCAGTGACCTCACTGCCGTTTTAAAGTATCATCCTCGCGCTGTTGAATATAGGTTGTCGTGGAAGCCGAGCATCAGTTATGTGTAGAAAGTCCTGCCAGAAAGTCAGGGTCGCAGGCTCAGATCAGGATGGGGCTGTGCCCCGCAGAGGAGGGGACGCACTATAGGTTTGACTTTGGTGGGGATTAAATAATTACCTATTAAAGTGCTTAGGAAAGTGCCCAGCACATAGAAAGTGCTCAATCATTGGTCTGTTATCATTGTTAAAATACGAAACAGAAGCCATTTTGGCAGCGTGTGATTTCAGGTGGCATCTAGTGTGCACTGCTCTTTGTAGCTCGTTTCATTCACTCAGCGCTTCGAGGCGGGGAGTTTCTTATCCCCGTTTTACGGGAGAGGAACTGCTGCACCACTCTGCCCCCCTTCCAAGGGGGCCCCTGAAGGGCTCCTGGACGCGGCGACTCAGTTCTAAAAGCTCATCTTATTCTGTTGTCAGCCACGGGTGTCTCATACTTCACTGGTGTTAACCGTCCCTCAGATCTAGCACTGGCCTTCCTTCACGAGCCAGTTTCCAAACAGAAGTAAAGTGCGTGGTGCCTGACACAGCTTCGAGTCAGCACGCGCCCCAAGTTAGCCACGTCCTCTGAGCATAAGATCTGCAGACTTGGCCAGAATTCAGCTACGGTCATCATTTCGACCGTGGAGCTAATTTAAGCTTATTTCTGCGGCACTGGGAAAGTCATTATGAAATCAAAGTGCACAAATTGGGAGGAAAGACGGTGTAAATAACTGATCATCAGTTGGCGATGAGTTCAGCCAAACACTCGACGAGTCCGAATAAGTAGTGCTTCCTAACAGCCTAAAATGTTTTTCAACTTTTTCATTTGGGGGAACTCTTGAGGGGTTGGTTGTCTCGTCCCTGGCATCACGTCAACAGAGACTGCAGGAGGCAGGGCAGAGAGACATGGAGAGTCCCCACGTAGCATAAGTCAGGTTTGCAGACAGCCGTGGACATGCGCTGGCCGGAGTGCTCCGGGTCGGTAGGAAGTCGCTGTCCGGCGTCCAGCGGCTGCCGTGGTGGCCGGAGCACCTACCAGAACTCATCAGACTTCTCTTTCTTTCCACTCGTCCCAGCTGCGCGCGCCTCCTTTCCGCGGATGTGCCCTGCCCTGTCACCGTGACCTCTCATCCTATCTCGCTTCCGGCCCCCTTTGTCTTTCAGCAGCCACCGTCTTCCAGTGGAAGCGTGTTTGGGTCTGGAAGCACCGGCAGAGGGGGAGGGTTCTTCAGCGGCCTCGGAGGGAAACCCAGCCAGGATGCGGCCAACAAAAACCCATTCAGCTCAGCCAGCGGGGGCTTCGGATCCACAACCACCCAGAGTAAGTTGTGAAAAAGAGTTTTCCCAACCCGTCCCCGCCCCCATTCCCTCATGCCACGGTCGTCCTCGTGGGCTTATCAGAGCTTTGGTGACAAGTACAGAAAGTAAAGGAAGGGTCTAGAAGGGCCATTTAAAATATCCACCCCAAAGCACTGTGATCTGTTTTGGTTTTGTTTTTTATTTTTGTTTTTTTAATGAGATGTCCTATATAATCATGAAAAGACATCAGAGCTGCAGGAAAGGGTTGAAATGAATTAGGATTGAAATGACTTGAAACGAATGCAGGCAGACAGGCATAAACGAGAGAGCAGCGGAGCAGGCTGTGTTTGCTTGGGGAAGGCGCATCCGGGTTTCATTTGTGAAGTACTCGCTTTGAATTTGCTTTAAAATTCAGCTACTGCTGAGAAATGTCACCCCAAAATTGAAGCCTTCGTTATTCCTCATATCTTAACATTTTTGTCTTATTTATAAATAAAGATGTATTTTTCCGTTGGCACTTTCTTTCCCAGCTAATTCTTAAAATTCTTTGTTGCTCTTTCTCTTCATGGTTAGAAATGGAAATTTGTTTAAATCTTTAAAAAATATATCCTGTTGCTGATGGGGGCTGAGACGGGAAGTCGAGGACCTGTCACCCTTGTCTTCGCTTCTGTCATTTAGTGTGCTGTGCGAGACACTTCGCTGTTCTCTCGTGCCCTACAGGGTCTTAACGCATTGAGGGCTCATGTCCTACAGAGAGGACGGATATTTCCTTAATATTAAGGCTCATGTAGTTAAAAGCAAAACTGTCCTGTGTCTCCCGGATTCACAGATCTGTTATTTTGATGTCACTGCCCATCTGGTAATAGATTATAATCAAGAGACACATACCTCTTAACTTGTGAAATTATGTAATCAGAAATGTTTGTTCTTCAGCTTTCAGTCTGCCAGGAGAAGTTTAGAATCCTAGAATGAAGGGATCTTAGAAATTGAGTCTAGTCGTTTTCAAAAACTGTTTCGCAGATGAACTCTGAAGCAGAATCCTGATTTGCAAAACAGATAAAAATAGGTTCCTGGGAAGCGGGCAGAAGCGCACCCTTGGGTGCTCCCCCATCTCTTCCCCAGCTGTCAGCCCAGGACCGCAGGGCCTCACACACACACTGCGGAAACATGACCCTCAGATGACACCCTCCATTTTCCAGGAAGGAGCAAGCCCCAAATGGTTAGATGATGTGTGTGTGTTTTTGTTTTTTTTTTTAAGTCACAAAGCCAGAAAGTGGCAGATCTAGAATTAGCCACATCTTACATAATGTGCCAAACACCGCGTCTGGCACAGAATAGGCACTTAATAACATGCTAGTTAGAAATGTGGGTTTATCCCATAGGTAGGTTATCATCTGCGAGATTGTGTTACTAGCCTATTTTGTTAAAACATAGGTGTTTCGTCCTAATATAAATTCCCTTCCTCCTGGCCGAGTCATCCTAATGCCACGTCTCTTACCAGTCAAAGGATTGCCTTCTCTCACCGGCCGGAGCCGGTGTGCACGGGCTCACGGGAGCCCGCTGTGCACATCCCTCCCCAGCTGCACGTACAGTGGCATCAGGAAACACTGATTTACGCCAGGGAAACTGGACAACGCTGCATATCATCCCCGCTCCCCAGCCTGTTGTTCACTGGCACATTATCTTCTCTAATTATTCTGGTTTAAAGTAAACACATCTGTTCTTGATACCACGCACCCACTGGTCTTCATCTCCTAAACGCTGGCTATCGTAATTCAGTAGTTCATGTTTATGCTTAAGGGAACTTTAAGTGGATTTGAAAGGGTACAGGAAAGACTTAACATTTTTTTATTCTTAAAAACTTAAATGTATGATTTGCTAGCGAAAGCAACAGGAATCCCTATCGCCTGAAGGACCAAGCACAGGGTGAGAAGAAGGAACAATAGAGAGGAAGGAGCTAGAGGTCATCTGGGGAGAGAACTGAGGATGCCCCCGCGAACCGCCAGAGGCGGCCTCTCGCTCCTCGGGTGGCTGCAGCATTCGATGGGTTCTTTGCTGGATGGTATGGGTTGGCTCTCCCGGTTCTGTTCTTGCCTCGCAAACAGTCCTCCCTGCTTCTCTTCTCTCTGTCATTGTGCGTATGTTCCCCACCGTCCCCCAGGTTATCGCAGCAGACCCCAGACTCCGCTCCTGCCTCTGGTCGCCTCCACTGTGGTCTGGGAATCCACACCAAACCGTCTTAAAACTCTGCTTTTATTTTGCCACTGTCTCTACTCAGTACCCTGGGGCAGCTTCTCACTGACTGTGGTACAGTCCAAACCAAGTCCCGGGGCTGAAGTTCAGGGCCCACACAGCCGGCCCCCACACACTCTTCTGACTGCCTTCGCTCTAGCCAGCGTGTCTGCTTGTCGTCCTTCATGCACGGACGACACCCCTCCTGGGGCTCACACTGCTCCCCCCTCCACCAGCTGAAGCTGCCTTTCCTTAGGGATGAATGTCTCTCCCTCTGTGCACGTTGGCCTGAGGGTCACGCAGACCCCCCCCAGGGATCTCTCCCAGTCGGGAGTCCTGCAGCCTCATATTCTGTGCCTGGCTAAGATAGCAAACAAAAGGGAACTCACCTTTATTGATCACCTACTGTGTGCCAGATGCTCAGTGTATGTGGTCTGACTCCTCTAAAACAGTCCTCTTACATGTGGCCGTCCCCATTTTACCAGCAAGGACACGGATTCAGGGAAGGCACATGGACTTGTGGAGGTAGCAGCCATCAAGTGGCGGAGCCAGGGTTTAATCAAGTTTGTGTCTAGAGTCTGCCCACCCCGTGGGCTCCTGGGATTTTCCTCGCCTCACGATGTGACGTAACTCCTCCCAGTGCGCCTCATGTGACAGCCCTTGTGCTTGTTCCTCAGGCATCACACATGTGTCCTCGCAGAGAGAGATCTGAGCACAAGTTGAGCAACCGGCAGTTCCCTTTGTGACAGTTAGACCCCAGGCTTCCCGCCCTGAGCACTAATGGGAACTACACAACCACCGAGAAAGACAAGCTGTGAACACTGTTGCTTAGAGTTGGCATGCTCCGTCTCCAGAGCCTCACACTCTGTGAAGCTTTCTGTCTTCCCCAGAGACTCGAAGATACGCTATTAACCGCTGAGGCCGTTTAAAACCAGGCACCGCCTCGAATCGGTACCTGTGAGGACCTACGGCCTCCTTGTCCGGGGACACTGGTTAGAACCATGCTCAGCACGTTTTTACTGTCCAGGGGCCTGAAAAGACATTTATGTGAGGGTGAAGAAGCCATTTGATGAGAATCTTTGGGGCTCACAGGGCTCCCTCACAGCCATTTTGTAAGAAAATCTCTTGAAAAGCGTCCTAGACAAGAGCTTGTCGAGAATCTTTCTCAGTACATGTTGAATTCTTGTTTAGTGACTTTAGACCTGCAGAATGACATGGGACCTAGTCTCGATGATACTTACATTAAGTTTATATCAGCTATAACATCATTAAAATTGAGTCAGACCCAGGTGTTGGATGCTGATGATGTTATTTTTGCCAAGTAAAAGACCAGAGAGGATCCTTGTGCCAGCAGGTGGAAGCCCAGAGCAGATGCCAGATTCACCTGTACTTGTCACCCCCCTTAGAATAGAAGTCATCAGGTGGCTCTGCACAGACGGTTTTCTTAGTGGCTTGTGTTCGCGAGTGAAAACTCCTCTACAATGCAATACTGTTCCAACAACTGAGATATTCTCTTATTTACCATGTTTTCAAGAACTAGAGAGACTGTTACTTTGGAGCCATTAGGAGAGACCCGCGAAACACGTTATTTCCTATAGAAACAGAAGCAGACATCATTTTGTGCCACTTGGTTTCAGAGCAGCTTAAATAAATCCTAAAGCATTTTAATATCCTGGGCTCCTTTTGAGATTGCAAATGACAGCTATTACAACTTGAATGGTTGAATTGTCATGATCTTCGCAAAATGAAAGGGATTTGATTTTCTGCAGCTGACCTACTCTGTGTTTTGTTATTCTGAACGTGATTGGGATATGGCAGGGGGAAGAGTTAAAGAAACAGAGGGACAGTTACATTTCCTGAGGACCTACCATGTGCCCGACTAGGCGCCCTACGTATATTATCGCATTTAATCTTCACGGCAGCTTAGCATGGTCACAGCGGCTGTCCCCGTGTCACGTGCAAGGCAACCGGGACCGAGGCATCATACTTATGAGGTATTCTAAGCCAGGTCTGACTGCAAGACTCATGCTGGTTCCACCATAATATTCTATGAACAGCTTAAAAGACAAGAGATTCCAAGGGGAAATCTGGCCCCTAATCTTGCACTCGAATTTGTTTGCCGTTTGAAATTTTGCACTGTGAGCACTGACGCAGTCAGAAAATTGCGACCCTCTGTTCTTGAAATTCCAAGTTAGAGGAATGACCGAGGAGCCTGTTTTCATCTGCAGTGACAAATGCACTGTCAGGTGTGGCCTTCAGCCAGCTCGTTAAGGGAAAGATCCGACTGTCGAAGAGGCCTCCCCCAAGGCGCAGCACCCTAAATGGGGCAAGGAAAAGGCGCTTGGTAACCACTCCCGCTGCCAGTGTCCGACGTGCTCATGGCTGGGCTCCGCCTGTCAGCCACAGTCTCACAGGGCAGGCGACCATGCGGTGTCTTGTCTGAGGCTCTGTGTTATTGGTGCCTAGAAGTTCGAGGTGGTCACGTCCCCGGGATGAGGCTGCTCACCTGGATTGCAGATCAAGAGCTGTAGCTGGAAGCATTAGCAGAGTGGCCTGTCTCACTGGGGTGGGACTGGCAGCAGAGAGAGAGACTTTGGGATTGACAGGATAGTGGGGACCCCCTCTTCAAACACTCGGCTTTGAGAGGTACTCCGTCTACTGCTCTCCCTGCCATCACCTTCACGGGGAGCCCCGGGGGAAGACTGTGCAGACATTTGACTGTGCAGATGTTTATACTTCTTGCTTGGTGGCACAGAGCCAGCTCCCACTACCCACCCAGAGCCCGTCATTTCAGCCTCCTGTTTACATAGAGCCTCTGTCTTTGGCCATCGACCCCATTTCAGGATAGCTTCTCCCTGCCTTCATGTGAGTACAAACTCATTTTAATAAAATACCCATCCATACATGGCTGGGAAGCAAATACTTCTCACCCGTCTCGTTTTTTAGTGGTTAGTTTCCTTTTTTCCTTTAATTCTCGGAGTGGATTCAGTGCGTATTCCAAGGAGTGACCCGCTAGGTAAGCATCCAAAAGGTCAGGGGCTTTTAGAAAGAGGAATCAGACCGGAAGCCTCGCCGGCCTCTTCCGCGTTCTCAGAACAGCCGCGGACCCATCGGATGGCGGGGGGAGCAGCGTGCTTTCTCTCGTTGCACCTGCCATTCTCTGAGCAGACCAGGCGACAGCGAGCTCGCCCGACGTGGCCGTGAAAGCAGAGCGCTGGAAGCCACGATGCTTGGCTTGGATTTGCTCTATCTTTATTTTCTCTAGTTTGACAAAATTTGAAGTTGTACTTCATGCGAGGCAATTGACGAAAACAAGCCTTATTGTTCAGAAGCAAACAGTCCGCTGTGAAGCCGCCGTGTTGGCCTCTCGGTGGCGGATAGGCCTGATGCCCATGGGAGCAGATGCGTTTCTGCAGAGGTGCCTCGTTGGAGCTACTGCTGCTTGTTTGTCGTGCGCCTGTAGCATCGTGCCGGGAAAATCCTGAGCCTGGGTACCAACCACAATGATTAAAAACCGGTCATCAAGGCACACGCAAATCAGAGACAGTGTCCGTGTCTCTTCAGCTCAGTGCCCTTGAATCTTAGACTCCCTTGTCACTCCCTGCTCCCAAAACACCCAGCTGAGGTTTCTTCCTTCTCTTCCAAGAAGTAAATAAGGACACTGTTCTCCCCCTAACATTCCTCACACATGTCTTTCATCTCCAGATACCTCTAACCTGTTCGGAAACAGCGGGGCCAAGACGTTCGGCGGCTTCGCCAGCTCGTCGTTCGGAGAGCAGAAGCCCGCTGGCACGTTCAGCTCCGGAGGAGGCAGCGTGGCGTCCCAGGGATTCGGGTTCGCCACCCCAAACAAAGCAGGTACTCGCGCGCTCGTGGGCCACGTGATTTCATTCACGCACGCGCAGGTGTCTGGGAGGCGGTCTCACTAGGGTGGTCTCAAGGGAATACGGATAAAGTGACCCCCCATTTTTTTTTCATATTTATTGAGCGTCTACTGTGTTCATAACACTAGTTTGGTCTCCTGAGATGTTAAAAACCACAGAATGCATATACCGTCACCCTTAAGAGAACTTGGAGCCTTCTTACGGGAGAAAAAGTTAAATATTTAACAAGTGCAGAGCACCCAAAGTAAGGGAACCGATAAGAGAGTGATAACTGAAACATAAACAAGAAAACATCCCTAGTCACACATTTACATGGGTGCCCGTTACCTGTCATGGGCAAAAAAATTTCTTTTGTCACTATTTTGACTTCTTTTCCACATGAATTTTTTTTTTTTTTTTTTTTGCTTTTAATTGCGTATAATACACTTAAATATATTAGATGCACATGTACATATTCAATATCCAAATATTCCCATATAAAAATACAGCTCAGTTAATTTTTACAGTCGGCATATACCCACGTAATCAAGAGTAAGAACATTACGAACACTTCTTTGAAAACATACATTTTTATGTCGCGTGACTTTTTACAATCACGTGTTACATTTATAAGTAAGACTTTTAAAGAACAATATGTGTTCGGACACAGAAAACATATTTCATTTCTGTCACCTGTCTCTCTACCCTATTTCTGTCTCTGAGATCTGCAGAGGGTCTGCCATCCTGCCCCTGTCGCATGGAAAATTGTGTGAAAGGATTTTTTTTAAAGTCGGGCCAAGGGGGAGGATATTTGCTGGGAAAGCTGTTCTCTAAAGCTAAGTCTTCATGGCGAGCAGGCGGGACACTTCTCCCTCAGATGTGTGGGAGACTGAAATTCTGCGAATGCCAGAGGAAGGGTCCTCTGTGGCCCAGGCGCTTTGGCGGCTCTGGCCGAGGGCTGCTCCAGGTAGTGTGTGGAGCCCCACCTTGTAAGCCCAGATGGCTGTGGCCTCCAGATGCACTGCGTTCCTTCCCTCAGACCCACGACTCGGGCGAGTTAGTGTTTGGTGGCCAGTTTGTGGTACTCTTTTTCTAGAATTAAAATGGACTGGAAATGGGCGTTACAGCTTTATTTTGTCCCCAGCCTTCCCTGCAGTGAATGATTTAAAAACGAAAGAGCTCTCATTCCTAGCTAACAAGGCAAATATTATTTGACTAAAGAATTTTAGTTCATTGACCATCAAGACGTAATCTGTTTTTTTTAAGGAACCTGATAATATTTTCTTTGACTCGTGTGTTTTTCTTATATGTTCTTATCCTGGGATCAGATTCCAATCGACTTGAGAATCTGATGCTTTTACTTTTTCAGCCTTAGAGAAAATGTATCCTCTCACCTTTGAGAATAGTTTTCCTGTTTGATGATTTGCCCCGTGAAACCACCTAGATTGAGGGCTCTAATCTAGAAAGCTATGGGGCACATACATAAGATGAATGAACCTATAACCGAAAAGGGGAAAGCGAGAATTGGGGGGAAGCCTGCTCTCCCTGTGCTTCCGGAAGCTCCGCTCTGCTGCAGAGTTGTTTCAGGTCTCATAGAGCTCCTTCTGTAGAAAGTGGTGCCTCAAAGTGTAAGGGAAGGCCTAAGCTTTAAATAAAATTCACCTTCCTGCCAAGGCAGCTCAAAGGCCTGCAGCATCAGGAATATCGCTTTTTGCTTTAAGAGGGGCTTTAGATGGATTGTTTGGAAGGGTCTTTGAAAAATTCCAAGTGTCCCCGCCCAAGAAAAGAATACTGCCGGAGAGTATTTGAGGAGAGACAGACTGAAAACGACCTCGTGCTGTCCCCAGTCCATTGACTTTTCCTCACTGTCCTGTCGCTGGGCTTGCTGGATTTAGTGCCAGTGGAGGAAAAAGGGTGACATGACGTTTACGTGATAGGTGGTCTTTGGAGTCCCTCAGACCTTATTCCAGTCCCTTTTACCAGCCCGCTAAACTCAGACAAGTGATGGCACATTCTCCAGGCCTCCGTTTCCTCCCTGTGACGTAGGGACCCCAGGTGTTGGCAGGGTCAGAGCAAATCGTCCCCCGTACAGCCCCTGGCAGTACACCTGGCCTGCAAAGAGCCTTCAGTAAATCAGAGTTCTTATTATCGTTGATTATTAGTAAATTTCGGTTTATCCTGGAGAAGAAAATCATGAAAATTTGCACCTAATAAAATCGAACCGCTCCTCGTATCAGGAGTGAGTCGCCCGTCTCCAAAAATAAGACCAGAACGAGCATTCTCCTCCGTTTCCCTTAGCCACGGCCCAGGTTTGTCGTCTGGGGACGTTGCGTGTGCCCGTGTTTGCGCGTGTCTAGTTTTAATCTCCCTTCCCCTGTCCAGTTCACTTCCTGTGTCATTGTGGCTTCTCGTTTTCCACTCACCTTCCACTGAGAAGTCTGAATAATATGGAGTACAAGGCACTAGAGAAAGCCCTGTGTGTCTAGGAAGAAAGTGTAACTAGATCTGTGATCGGTCTTAAATAATTCAGCTGCAAGGCTTTTTTAGCACTTTTTTTTTTTCCAGTCTGTTATATTTGTAACCCAACTGTCTCCATTATCATGGCTTGGAATTTCACTCAAGGTTTTAAAATACAGGACATTAACCCAAACATGAACCTTAGCAAAAAAAAAAAAAAAAAAAACATCTTCTCAGTCGTGCAGCTATTAGTAATGGTAAATAAGCACATGATTGAATCACAAAATAACAGCTAACGAGAGAATTCAGCTCACAGCTCTTTCCCGGTCCGGGTGGCAGCAGCTTTGGTGGGTTTGTTCTTCTAATGAGAAGGCTTGACTGATCCCTCTGCATGGGATTCATTTCGAAAAGGGGAAGAAGGACGCCCCGCCCCCTCAGGCTCATCGACCTGCGCCTAGGCCAGCACATTTCTGTACTACTTTGTTCTGTTCCGTTCAGCAGATACTCACTGAGGGTCCCCCCTGATAGCCTAGGGTGACCTGAACAAGGTCTCAGGTCAGGGACCCCCCCTCAGGAGCAGAAGGGACAATCAGGGAGGATGGCCCGACCTCCCGCCTGCCGAGCATCCCAGCCAGTCGGAGGAGGCTGCCTCCCCGTGGTGGCCACCCCGCCGGGCCGTGTCCATGTACACAGCAGGCCCAGGCACCTGCAGAGGGGACTCAGGCTCTGGTGCTCTGCTCACCGCTGGTGACGGTTTTATCACAGCTATGCACCAGCCTTCCTCCGGAGAAGAAATTCGGTGTGCTTTTTTATTGAGGAGTAGTTCCTGACTGCAGAGAGAACACGTTTTGGGGGTTTTTTTTGTTTCTCATTCCTCTGAACAAAGAGAGAATGAAAGACTTGGTGAGAGATGTGAGAGCCATTAGCTTTAAATAAATGAAAAGCACCTGGCCGAGCGCCCGCACCCCGCGGCTCCCTCGCTGTAACCCAGTTCGCGGTGCTCCCTGCGCAGGGCTCACGGCCTCGATGGTACGTGGGCTTCCGGAAGCTCGGTGCCTCGCCGCCTAGGCGATGAGTAATGAAACCCGCCGTCTTTGGTGGCCGCACAGGGATTGGAGTTTCTGAGAGTGATTTTACAACAAGGGGTCTCAGCAGTGCAGAGGGGCTGAGAAGGGACCTGCACCAAGCTGGTTCGTGGTGGCCATCCGACCTGCTAAGACTCGGAGCCCACAAGTCCAGCTTACCTCTGGGAGGGACTGGGGTCCCACAGACAGACACGGGGCCTGCTGGAGGGACTGGGGTGTCACAGACAGACACGGGGCCTGCCGGAGTCTAGAAGTCCAAGGAGCTCTCCTGGGTGGCCCCCAGACCTCTGCTAGAAACGGAGGGAGGTGGTTGATGGTTCGCTGTTAACTATTATTTGCCAAGAACGGGTGTTGCCTTTCGTTAGAGTTCTTCGTATTTGGATTTCTAACATATTTTCCCTTTTTCCCTCCTCTTTTGATTTGGTTTCTGCTGCTCATTGTTTTTTCTTTCTGTCTCCTTTCTTCCTGTTTGTTTGCCTCTGTTTTGCTCAGGTGGCTTCGGTGCTGCTCCAGTGTTTGGCAGCCCTCCTACTTTTGGGGGATCCCCTGGGTTTGGAGGGGTGCCAGCATTCGGTTCAGCCCCAGCCTTTACAAGCCCTCTGGGCTCGACGGGAGGCAAAGTGTTCGGAGAGGGTACTGCGGCCGCCAGCGCAGGAGGATTCGGGTAAGCCCCCGGGGAGGGGACCTTGGCCGGCCCGGCTCCGGGCAGCCAGAAGCCCTGGGGCCAGCACTGCCGGTCCCGGTGTGGAAAGAAGCTTTTGCGGTCTCCCTGCTCTTGACTATGAGCCAAAGGCTTCTTTATCAAAATCAACAACAAGTCGCTCCAGGATTCCTGTTCTCCCTGGAGAAGGCTCGTTTCTTCCAAGCCAGACTGTCAAGTGCACGAGTGGACACCAGCTGTGTTGCTGTCCCCTCATACGTTGGCAGACCCCTGTTTTCTTGGCAGCACCAAATGATTGGCTAAAGGGAAAAAAATCGTTCTGCCGCGGCTACTTTGTAGCCAGCGTTGGCCCTTGTGTGTAACTTCTGTTAGGAAATTCTGAGTGACGAGTTCTCACCAGCTTCTTTCCGCTTGGGATTGTTGTGAATGAGACCACTGTCCTTGAGCAAACAACTCCCGGTGTCCCCTGCTGCGCTCCAGACCCCCCAGAGTGGGCGTTCGGTCACAGTCCCCTCGCCTGGATTCCGTACTAGGCGCTAACTGAGCCCCCTTCGTGTTTAAGGGTCTCGGTGGTCTCGGCGTTTGAAGCTTACGGCCTTGTGCTTGTCCTCACTTGAAAATGCCCTAATAGTCATTTGCTTTTATGGGCCCCACAAATTCAGTTTGGTTGCCAAAACCCCGAGAAGTAAATAGCTTTCACCACACCACAAAGTTCCAATAAAGGACACGTGGCCATGACTGCGGAGTGCCCTGGTCACAGGAGATGTTAGTGTCCGAGGCAGATCTCTTGCCCTCGGCGCTGGCTCGGGACATGTAAATCTAAAGATTTGGGGTCGGGGGGTGCTACATTTTAGAGAATCGTCAGGGTGCTTAGGATGATTCTTGAGGCGATACCATCTTTGTCTGGAAAATAAACTTCCGTTCTCATTCACGCCCTTTCCCCGCCGTGAGACAGCCTGGTGCAGAAACATTGGCAAGATTCAAGGAAAGCGAGCGAGTGGCTGTACCGCTTCGTAGATTTTTATTAGAAACTGATGGGCCTTTTCAGTTTCCCCCAGGAAACCCCAAGAATTAACGTTAAGCAGAGCTTTTAAAGGGGCATGGGGCCGATTTACACCAGCGTTCTTGGCGGGTTTCGATGGCCCCGACCCCCGCAGTGAGCACCCAGCACCGAGCGCTGCGGAGTCGCTGGAACGTGTTCGCTTGACCGGGACTCGAGGTTTTATTTGAAACCAGCTGTTTTCTTCACTAGTAGCAAAGGACCACGTTCCTCCCGGGAGCAGCTCTCCCACAGGGGTCCCGACTGGCTGGTTAGGTCCATTTTGTGGAACACAGCTAACGAGGACCAGCTCTGGTAGGAACTCTCCAAAGGGCCCGTCACCATCCCTTTTGTTCAGGTCCCTGGTCCCCAATCCCGCAGACATGCCACTGGTGTTTGCGAGGGGCCCGAGGCGGCAGTAGGAAGAGAGCAGGCCCGTCACGGCCCCTCAGGGAAAGGACAGTGAGGACAGACCCGCGCTGGTCTGTGTGGGGAGGACCTCGCCTCAGCCTAAACAGGAGTCGGTAGGGTCAAGATGCAGAGAGGGGCTGAAGATAAGTGAACGAGGCAGGGGGTTGTCAATAAATGAGAAATGCTAAAACGACGGAACAGGAGAATTATTGGGGACAGAGAGAACAAAAAACGTAGCGTTGCTTAGTTTCCAAGGGACCCGGAATTTCCGGACAGTGGACAAAAAACTAGCACCCCGGACAAGTTGGGTTCCATAGTGCCCCGCTACTGCTGGCTACTTTCCTTTCCAGAGCAGAGGTGAAGCTTCGCTCTGGGCTCTGGCCTGTTCTTTCCAAGAGGCCACTGGTTAAACCAAGCGCGACCTCTCATTCGTGAAGGTCGTGCGTCCTTAGACGGAGGCGGCTGCGCTGAGGCGCTCGGGGCCACGCTCACCGGTCCCGTTTCTCTCCGGAAGGTTTGGGAGCAGCAGCAACACCACGTCGTTCGGCACCCTCGCCAGTCAGAACGCGCCGACGTTCGGCTCGCTGTCCCAGCAGACTTCCGCTTTCGGGACCCAGAGCGGGGGATTCTCCGGCTTTGGATCGGGCACAGGAGGTAGGCAGCGAGACGGGCCTCGCTCTCGCCATCTTCTCCTCCGTAAACACCTTCCCCCGGCCAAAGGAGTGACTGCCGTTTTCCTGGCTATTCGGTTCAGTATTTTCAAAGCCGAAAAGGCTTGAAAGACAAAATGTTCTTTGTAGGTTTTAATTAGACTTGTAACATTGTGCCATTTCTTGCCAAATAAAGAAATAACTGACTTGATTTTCTCTCCAGATTTGAGAACCGAAAATAATAATCATCTTACTAGGCCTTGGTTTAAAAATCCAAGCCGTCAGACTCAAAAACTAAGATGTAGAGATTTTACAGTGTCTTTCGATTGTTTAACACTCTGCTCCTTCAGACAGTGCAGTGGGGGTTTCTGTTTTTATGTTTGCAACACACTTGGGAGGCCCAGGAGTCAGGCATCATTACTGTTTTACAGTGGAGATAGAGAAGCTGCAAGGGGTCAGTTTGCCCAAAGGGCCAAACGGTGAGCCGCAGAGCCAGGCCTAGGACCCAAGGGTCCTGCTTCTGTGGCCTCAAGAAGAGGCAGTGAATGGATGGGAAAGTAGCAAAAATATGTTTTCCTAACGAAATAGATCTGCGTGGCATGGTGTAGCTAAGTCGAAGGGGCTGTGCCAGACCCCCTCTGCCCGCACCTGGCAGCGGGAGGAGGGAAGAACCCTGAGGTAACGAAGGATGGTCACCCTCCCGCCTGGCCTGCAGGAGGCAGGGGACGCAGGGAAGGACTGGGCCTGGAGGCCGCCGTTGTCTTTCAGGCGTATGCGTTTTAACGTCACCCTTTTCATCTTTTCCAGGATTCAACTTTGGAACCTCTAACTCGTAAGTATCTGTCTCCAGTTTTGTCATTAAATCAGGATGGAAGAGTGTGTGGTCTGTGACAATATTCGGCTACTAATTTTTGCTCTGTTGTATGTTTTTCCTGTTTTAAAAGCTTGTCCTGGAAGCCTAGGGGTTCAGTGGCGGGTTTTGGGTTCCGTGGGCCTGCCGATCCCAGCAGGAACATGGCAGGAGGGGCCAGGACAGGCCTTCTCCACAGCCAGGCGTGAGGGGGAGGGGGAGCCTCCCGGCGGGCAGAGGCTGCGAGGCGGGACCCGAGAGAGGCTTTTCCTCATCTCCCTGTTAGCGTCTCAGCAGCTTCATGCTGACCGCGGGTTCCAGGCCCGTAAGCCTAGCCAGTCGTGTGTTTTGATCCTCCCGCTATGCTTCTGTGTAGAATTGCATGACAGTAAAAATTCAGAGTCTTAACTCTGAACAGCGGAAGCCTTCCCTCGGTCAGCGGGAGTGACCCGCCTCTCCCGGCGCTTCCTTGCAGGTCCGTCCAGGGCTTCGGCGGCTGGAGAAGCTGAGCGGGTGTCGGTGTTCTTTCAGTTCCCGTGGCCAACTGCATTCTCAGCTCCTCTGAGAAACACTGAAGCAGTTCTTTAAAGTGGACATTTTCATTGAAACCCACCCCCAGAAAGAAACATCAGAGACAGAACTCTAGAGATGCTTTTTGTTTTATACTTCATGTCGGTTGTCATACCCCCTCCCCCGCTGCGCCTCGCCCACCATTAAACTGTTTGGTTTGTTTCCATACAAAATGTATATGGGTTTTTTCGGGTCCCAGCCGAAGAGAGAGGTTCCCTCGTTTCTAGGGCTCTGAGAAGCCTATACAGTGGCCGGTAGCGTGTGTCCTCAAAGATGTACCCCAAGGACCAGCGTGGGGTAGCGACGGACGAGCGCAGTGGGCAGGAGCTTCTCCCCGGCCTTCTCAGACCTGGTTCTGTCCACGGAGGGAGGAGGTCGAGTACTGGCCAGTCACCTTTTTGAGGCCGTAACCTAGTGTCTCCTTGTCGTGTCCCTTTTGCTATTGGGTATCGGGACCCTCCAGGTGCCACTTTTTGACCGAGTGGAGGGGAAGAAACTCCTTGACGTGGGCCTCAGTGGACTTTCAGAAGAGGTGGTGGCACCTGGGGGGTGCAGGTTGCTGGGAGGCACGCTTGGCACACGGGCCGGTGAGTGCTGATGACAGGTATGCTGTCCTTAGAACAGGGCCACCAGTCTGCCTTCTGAGTCGGCTCTCAGGCACTGTCTTCCACAGCTGATTTCTTCCCCGCTGCAGGGGAGGTAGGCAGTTGATGGAGAAGACAGCTGTTATTTCCGGGGGTGACCTTGGTAACCATGCAGGCAGCCCTTGGGTAGACCAGGAGTCACGCAGACGTGGCTCTGCCCGATAGCGCAGTGTTTGCCAGCGTGGCCCGGGGAGCAGACTTCAGGTCTGCAGCGCCGGCCGGCAAGGCGCTGCTATCTCGGGCTGGGCGTACTTTGTCTCTTAGGCCTGCGATATCACAGTTGCTGACAAACGGGCTGCCTCACGTCCAAAGTAGGTGCAAGAATGTGTTATCTTTCTGGTCCAGAACGTGACAGTGGGGCATTAGTAGGGAGGGTTGGACAGAATTTTTTTAGAGTTTTACATAGTGGGAAGTTGTGTTTTGAAATGGTTTAATAAAATCTTTCCATGTCATTTAATTTGTCACCTTGTAGCCATTATGGCCTTGCTGGTTCTGTTGGCTAGTTGAGAAGGGTCGCCCTCGTCAGGGCCTCCCCAGGCCACGGTCCTGGGGTTATGCTGCGGCAGGGCTGGGGTTGGGCCTGGGCGCCCTCGCGCACTGAGCTCCGTGGTTTCCTCCGCTCGTCAGAAGGTGCGTCCCATGGCGCAGCACCGTCGGATTCTGGGAACCCCAAACCAGAACTGGATCCCCAGGTGTCTGGACGACTTGCTCCGCTCTCCGTGCGTTTCGTGAGAGAACAGTGGGGTCTGCCCGTGCTCCCGTTCATTGGAGTGTCTGCCTCTTTGGAAGAGCCGGGACTCCACTAGTCTAATGTGTGTGCCTTTTTGATCCGTGCAGAATTGAAGAGCCTGTCTCCACCTGTTCTCACACAAAGCCCCTCAGCCATGGAGTAGGGGACAGTCCCCAGGACGTCCACACGGGCACAGGGCTCATTCCTCCCACACGTGAGCTCCTTAGTTGTACACAGGGGCCATCTTGAGACGAGGGAACTCGAATTTCAACGGAGAGAGCTCATGGCAGAGGGCCTCGCTTTAAAGAGAGCAGTGTGACTAGGTGACTTCTGCCTTAGCATGTCATCCTGTCAACCAGCACCCAGACCAAGCCCGTCTCCTGCCCGTCTGTTTCTCCCAGAGGCTCTTTCTCTATAAATAGAAACTGTTTCAGCCTAAACCCTTGACCTCAAATTCTATGTTAATCCTCCATTGAGGTGGCATGTGACATCTCTACATAAGGCCATATCAGCTGTGCTCAGCCAGATAACACCCCCACCACTCACTGCTGGGAGGCGGCACTGGGGAACACGCTGCTGGCGTGTGAGCCCCGCTGAGCTTCTTTGGGGTCGATTACCCGGATGGGTGACGGGGGTCATCTCGGAGTGCAGCCAGCATGCGTCCCCTGAAACCCAGGTGCCCAGGATGCCGGGCGGGGGATGCACGGTGGCTGCAGCCCGCCCAGGGAGGGGTCGCCGGGTGTGAGCCTCTCGGGGTAGGGCAGGCGGGGAGCCGGGTGAGAGTGTGGATCGTGTCCAGTGAAAGGGAGGGACCGCAGCTGCTCCTAGGCCGGGAGGCTGCCCCACCCCACGTCCGTGGAGGTGGCCACAGCGCCAGGGAGGCCGTCACAGTTGGCTCCATTTGTCTCTGCTTGTGGAACTCAGGAAGGGCAGGAAGGAAAAGGGGGCAGGCGGTAAATGAGGGCTGTTTTGGTTGGCTTTTCCACATGTAAATGTTGTGGTTACATAGTAGTGCTTCAGATGGCAGCACGGTGATAGAGACTGTGAATCGAGCTTCTCGGGGACTGGAAGAGCCCACATGACAAAATGGGCATGTGTACAAGTCCCCTTGCATGCTGACACGCTTTGGTGCCGTCCCACCCTCTGGCAGCCTCCAGAGAAGTTTCTAGGTCAGGCACTCCGGGAAGGGCGTGGACCGTGCAGGCCACCGACCCCAGCCCTCCGGCTCTGGGAGGGGACCGGAAGCAGGCACTTGGCCTCTGGCAGGCACTTGGCCTCTGACGGGAGGGCTTTTCCCTCAGTCAGGAAAGAGATTTGAATGCCGATCTCGCAGGGCGGTTGTGAGGTTTAAATGAGGAGATGCACGTGGAGCACCTGGCACAAAGGTTCTCACTGAACGGTAACTGTTCTCACCTTACTGGGCCTTGCCCTACATCCGGGGTAAACAGTCTTCGGGGGGCATCTTCCACGTGGCTGTGGGCCCCTATATCAAACGCAGGACCACCGTGGGTCGGCCCTCACTTAATGGAGCTCTCACGCAGGAGCGCTCAGTCATGAGTGTCGGAGTCAGCACAGCTGGCTGGGCCGGGCCTCAGATCTGCGTTGGATAAGCTTCGCAGGTGATTCCAGTGCAGGTGGTCCGTGGGCTACATTCTGAGAAACCCTTTAACCGCAATAACTATAAACAATCCCCCCAACCAACATCTGAAAGAGAGCCTAACTCCCGTGGACATGTTTATTTTGCCACTAACCCAGGGTTAGTGATCTTTGTGAAATTGGGAACGACAGACACCGAGTGTAAATGTCAGTTGCTCTCTGGGCACCTGCTCAAAGAAGAAGAAAGCACAGGTGGGCTGTCGCCTCCTTCCCATCCAGCTTCTGCACGCCACCTCTGTGAAGTCTTTCCCGGTGACTGAACCTTCCTCGACCTCATCCTTCCTCTCGATGCGGCTCACTCCCGCTTCCTGGTCACCGAGTCGTCCTTTGTGACAAAGTACTGTAGGAGAAGGAGCAATGTCCCTGCGTCCTCAGCGTGGCTCTCAGGCTTGTCTTTTTCATCAACTCGTGAATTCCCACCCAGTTTCTCAAGGAACGCCTGACCGGTGCTGCTAAGCGTTGGCTGGTTCTCACACTCCTCATCCTTTCTAGGCGTCACCCCCCGGGTGGGAAGCAGGGGTGGGGTGTCTTCCTCCTACTCTCGTTCCCCCGATCTGTCTGTTCCTCCATCACTCGGAAGCAGTTGGACTTCGAAGTCGTTTAGCCTGCAGACTCCTGCTGTGTTCAGCTGCTTCCTGTGGACAGAACAAATCTAATAGCTCTTTTTATTGAAGGACTCTTGAGCCTTCAATATTTATATTTGCTTTGTAAATCAATAAAGTGAAATAAGCTGCCATTTCCAGATCTGTTTGACCTTGGAACCTTTCTGCTGAAGCCAGACTCCTTGGAACTCATCCTGGGAACTGCTTCACCTTTGGCGTCGCTGGACAAAAGCACAGCTCACTTCCTGCAGGCTGTTTAGAACGCCCATCCCTCCCTTGAAGAATCGGCCCTGAACACCACGCGTCCACGACCACACCGTCAAACCTGTGTAAGGGTCAGCTGTACCCTCGGTCCTCAGGAATCATGGATTTGGAGGGCTGACTTTAGTTACAAGCCAGTGGTCCATGCCCCTAACCCCTGCTATTCAAGGTCAACTGTATTCGATTATAGTAGCAGTGATAATCCATCGAACGCCCACTCTGTGCCCGGTACTGTCCGTGCTGAGTGCTTATGGACGTTTTCACGTTTAACTTACAAGCTAGTTACCATAACCCACGTCTTCCAGATGAGAACGTGAGGCCGAGAGTCAGCTGTTTGCCGAGTCTCAAGCCAGGTAGCGGTGGAGCCAGAAGGGACCCGGGATGTGTTTCCCACCCTGTCCTGTGTCATACCCTGGACCAGCCACCATTCCCCAAGATAGTCATTTTAGAAGAAATACTTGGCTTCTTGGGCCAGGGACACTGCTGAGCCGCTTATCATGCACCTGTCCTGTCTACCCTGGTAAATGAGCTGACCTTGGACATGAACCACAGCAAATGTTCTGCACAATGTGTAGTTATCTGCCCCCATTCTGCTGGCTCCAGCCTTGTACACAGTCATCGTCTGTGTCAACCACAGCCCCGTGGAGCGGGGCAGAGGCTGTGTCTATCCTATGCTGTCACGCACAATACACAGGTGCGGACGTGCTAGCCACTTCCCGATGCAGGTGATCAGGACCTGGAGGAAGCAGCCGGCTGCACGCCCTCCGGCTCTGATCCCCTCCTTCCTCAGCTGTCTCTTCGGGGGTCTGGCTTTGAGGTTTTCCAGAATGCCACAGGAGGTCAGGCCAGAGGCCCACTGAGGCGGCAGTTGCCCCATTGTTCGGCCCCCCTCTGCTTATAAATAGAACCCTGGCCGGAGATTCTCCACATTGTTTTTAGCCTGAGATCGCCAGCTGCACAGTAAGAGTCACAGTACGGGAGGGGGCGGGGTGGCAGGCTGGAGGCACAGCGGCACAGTTGCAGCAAGTGGCAAGTGGGGCTCACCTTTCACAGCGTCCCTCCAGCCCTGTTCCTGCCCGGGCTCCCCTTGGCACCCAGACTCGGACTGTGAGGGTGCAGAAGAGGCGTTGCTCCCTAACTCTCCCGAGGCTGGTTTTCACAGCCACGCCTAGGCTGGGCCTTCCACCTGGGAATCCG